GTTATAATCTTGCTCTTAGGATGTAGTAAAACTCCTCCACCTATAACCTCAAAATACTACTAGGTAGCTCCGGTGGTTTTAAAATAGATCCACAAATTGTTTTATACTACTGTCTTCAAAAGGCAGTCATAATGCCCCTCCCATTAGTATGAGCTGGATTTAATCACCTGCTTCTATCAAATAGAATAAGGTGGAAGCGATGATGTATGACTTCTGAGACTCGATCTTAAAAGGCATTATAGATTCCTCCTTATTCTGTGTCTTGGATCACTCACTCTGCGGGAAGCCAAATGCCATGTTACAGGGACACTCAAGCAACTCCATGGCAAGGCCAACACGGTGAGGGACTGACGCCTCCAACCAGCCCTCAGCAAGGAGCTGAGGCCTGCCGCCTGTGCCACGAGGGGGGGTTTGGAAGCAATTCCTTCAGCCACTGGTAGCCTTCAGATGACATTTGGATTGCAAACTCATAGGAGACCCTGAGCTAGAATCCCCAGCTAGTCCATTCCCAAACTCCCAACTTGCAGAATCTGTGAGATAATAAATGTTTGTTGTTTCAAGCCCCTAAATTTTGGGCCAATCTGTTATGCAGCAATAGATAACTAATATAGTAGCTAAAGTTACATAATGGATAAGAAAGTATCCGAAAATAAGAACCGAGCACAACCTCATTAGTTCATCTTTATATTATCACTCCATACGTCAAGACTATATTATGTTGACACTTGCGGGTACTACTTAAACAGTCTGTCATTTTGGCCTCTTTTTTCCCCCGCCTTACAGATTGTTCAGATCCTTTTTAGAACCACCCAAAATGTGTCTGATGAAACCTAGTGAGAGATCTGCCCTCCTTCTTGTTAACAGATCCAGATCACAGCATAACCTTAAAGTTCTTTTCCAGTCACCTAGTGTGGTAACCTCAGTCAAACTCACAGAAAAGTAGTCCCACTGTGACACAGTCTACACACCTTTCCCAACCACAGTGTGCTGCACTGGATACAGTGTTATGTCTGTATATAGCCAATGGGCTGTACACAGCCCGTGGTTTATCAGTTATTAATCCAATCTTCATCTTAATGACTAAATGACTAACTCTCAATTCTAGGTGCTGCGTATACTGCATAAGAACTGAAGGAGGTTAGTGCAGGCTGCACAGTCACAGCCAAATCTAGACACAATTTGATCTAGCAATTAGTGTTCAGCATTAGCAAAAGCGACAGTTTTAAAAATAAAGTCTATCAGTTAGGAACACACTCAGCTTTGAGGAACAGAATGCCCAGCAACAGTGGCTTAAACAAGGATGGGGCTCCAGTTCCCATACAGTAAGGCCAGACCCAGGCAGTCCAGTGCTGCTGCAGCTGTTCAGAATGTGATGCATTTGCCTGCTCCTCCATTCTTAACATGTGCCTTTTGCCCTTATGGTGGGAAGATAGCTGCTATCATGTCCAGACACCAGGTATCATGTCCCAGCTCCAGGCAGGGAGAAGGGCTAAGGACAAAGCTTTGCTTTTGTTTCCCCAGAAAAGAAAGCCCTTTCCAGGCATTTCTGGCTACATCTCATTGACCAGAATTGGATCCCATCTCCAACCCAACTACAGGAGAAGCTGAGAATTCAAATACGTAACCTTACGGTCTGCGCAGAAAAGGACATCAAGAAAGAAATTGAAATGGGTGTGGAGTGATCTAACCCTTAGCACTTTGATATCTGTCACAGAAGGCAGCCTAAGGTTTATGTATATGTATATGTATATGTACACACACACACATTTTTTTTAAATCAATTTACTCAGCAGTACTTTGCCACTAAAGCAGTGCAGGGAGAAAATGCTTTGGTGCAGTCCTGGGTGGGGGTGCTTGACAGTGCTTAATATCACCAGCACTGAAAGTAATAAATGTTATCCCTCTTTTCTATCATGAATATGAATGACGCTCTGAAGGCTGAATGCAACCTAAGAATTTACGTGAGAAATGAGGCATGAAACATTTTTGAAAATATATTAGCCCAAAGTCTGTATTACTGCATATTTTATACCCTTTTCAATATGCTACAAAAGGTTTGAGCCATCAACTGAATGCCGCCAGAAAAGAACAAACAAGAACAAGGATACAAAAATAAATGCTGGGAGTCAAGTTCTCCCAAAACGTTCTTTATGGTCAGTATAATGATCACAGCAGCAGGCAGTCTGCTTTGCTCCAAACTCTCTCCATCAGCACTTCTGCAAGACTGGTTCTCCAGCAAGTTTACCCCAGGCCAAGTAGTCAGAAATATTCATGGAGCAGTCAGTATTGCAGAAAGCATTCCATAACCATCCTCCCCTGCCCTTGACACTTGGTTCCTCGTACCTTCTATGCCTGAGATCTTTCCTCTCATTTTGAGAATATGAAGAAAACATGTCTGGGTGAGTGTTTTCTGATTGGGGATTCAGTTAATGTTTAAATCTTTTATTCTGAATGATTTTTATCCAACATAATATATTTTGTATGCATGGTCATATGATAATTATAACTATTAATATGTTTTACATCCTATAAGCTTTATCCCATGTTAATGATATTTAGTAAAATGGCCAAAATATGAAAATATTTACTCTGTTAAGATATAATTCATTATTTTAATCCTTTCTACTTTTACAGAGTTTTAAAAAGTTCTATAATGAATGTATATCATTCCTGTAGTTTGGAACAGAAATCAACTTCAGTTTTTCCAGAAGGCTGTAGTCTTCCCAGACTAGACCTGAGCCAAGTTTGGGCTTGCGAAGTGAAAACGCATGGGGCATCAGGTCTGTAGACCCATCAGCTGTTTGGATCCCAGAGAGTCTCAAGGTTCATGTACTGAGCATCCTCTGGAAACTCATAGAAATACCTATTCTTAGAGCCCAGACATGATAATTCACTTGGATGGGGCGGGGGGGCTCAGAAGTCTGCATTGTTAACAAATACTCCAAGTGATTCTGATACAGGAGGTCCCTGGGCCACACTTGAAGAAACGTTGCTCTAAGTCATTTGCTCATTTGATGAGAGGCCACAGTCCGTACCGACGTCCATTCTTATGGACTCCAACGACAAGTGAGTCTCCCCATTCACGCTAATGAATGGTTCTCTCTCTGTCCCATCTTTCAAAACGTAAATTGCTCCTACTTTTCCTCAGTCACAAGGAGTTTATAGATTAATATTTGCATAGCACTTCTTAACACTTCATAATATTTCATTACATGGAAGTATTCTGTCATAGAGAAAAAATGTTTCTTAATTAGTTAAGTGCAATTGAATGCCTACTATGAATAAGACCAGAGATATTAAAGATAGATAAGACCATCTCCTTCTCCCAAATGAAGATTTCTAGATTAGATGCCCCTGCTTATCTGTCACTGGGTATGAACTCCCTCAACGCATCTGTAGTGATAAATTGCATAGTACAATTGAATGGTTACCATTTTAGAAGGATCATTTCTTGGTCAATTAAAATGTCCAGAAAGATTGGTGTTAAAGTGAAGATATTTTATTTAACCCCTTTCTTCTAAGAACTTTCTACATCATTTTCTTCTTTCTAAGAGATGGTTCTATTTTTCTACTAAAAACCTAAAGAAGGATTTCTCTTGGCACAATGCACTCTGGGGAGCTCTTACTGTAAACCAGCCGTTATTTTTTCCTGGCTATCAGACAACGTTTCACTTAGATACTATATCTGAGGTCTCATCTAAATTTAGGAGAACGAAACTGCACATTTTAGAGACAATCTGCCAGCTGTGCTTGTGAAAGTGTCACTAAGCCCTTGAAAGAGTAAGAGGAGGAGGAAGGGGAGCGAGAAGAGAAGAGAAGAGCTTCAATGACAACAACAATTGAGGGTTTCTAATCAGCTCCTAAATGCCAGCCGTGAAGCTAAGTGCTTTCACGAAGCATCTCAATTAATCCTCAAGACAGTCATGAGATACAGGTTCTTTACAGACTGATTTTACTGATGATGAACACTGAGGCAGAGAGATTAATTAAATTGCTCAAAGTCTTATAGCTACTAAGGGCCAAACCAGGATTCAAAGGGAGCTCTGTCTGTTTTCAGAACTGGCAACCATGAGCTGCAGGGGGACCCCGCTGGGAGCCAGGCGCTCAGGCACTGTGCAGCGTGTGCAGCCGGCCTCGGGAGCACAGTTCTCTCACTCCCGCAGCATCGGAAGAGCCAGCAGAAACCGTGGCTGGTCCAAAGTTATGGCCCACTGTCTAATTCATCGGAGGGCCTCCGACAGCCTCAGAAATCAGGCTGGATTTAGGAATGCGAGCTCCCTGTCCTCACCAAATCAGCCCCTCACAATTCATATGCTATATACCCTCTGCCTATTGATCAATCTACTGCGCCGAGGAAGGTCAGTTCTAAATTTTCTAATAAAACTATCAGAATGATTAAAGAGAACCCATAGCTGTCAGAAAAATATCAAAATTCAGTATGATGCCTGAGTCGGCCCTATTGACACATACATTATTTTTTTTACAGGGTGAATAGCAACTATCTGACTGTTAATATGTTATTATTATTAGAGAGGCCCAAGGTTCAGACATTCTTAATTGCTTGAACTCCTGGGCTAATTAATGCAGTTTTAAAAGGGATATGTCAGGAATCACACTATATGTCTTTACATCAAATATAAAAACACAAGGCACGTGCCCCACGCTGAAGGTTGCCAGACAGTTCTAAGCGTTTAGCACAGGTCTTGTCAGAGAAAACCCCAGTATATTAATTTAACAGGCTCAGAGTTACTTACCAAAAGGCTGTAGAGCATGATGTTTTGCATAATCAAAATGGTGTATTCACTCAAGTCATCATTTGATTTTTTTCATTTATATTCCAATTCACAGGGGCATAAGCATATCAATTACAAAACAACCTACAATAACTAAATCCAAAACAGCTACAAGGCCGTCTAAGTATTGTACACGACACCTAGCGCCACACAGAGCTCAAGGACAAAATGATCTTCACAAACGTAAATGTTGATTGTTCACTTCACCTGGTGGGAAATGCCCTGTAGTCTCTTTCCTTGAAGAGTTTGTATGTTATTACTCAGAAGAAAATCATCATCTTCACTTACATCTATGAAAAGAGAGAAACATTATATATAGATTATCAGAAATTACAAGATTTAAGAAGTTTATGTGCAATTTAGTACTCATTATATTTTTCTTTATTCTATTAAGACTCTATATTGACTAGATCATAAATGTTTACTTTCTTTTTTTTTTTTTTGAGGAAGATTAGCCCTGAGCTAACATCTGTTGCCAATCCTCCTCTTTTTGCTGAAGAAGACTGGCTCTGAGCTAACATCCATGCCCATCTTCCTCTACTGTATACATGGGATGCCTACCACAGCATGGCTTGCCAAGCAGTGCCATGTCCACACCCGGGATCCGAACTTGAGAACCCTGGGCTGCCAAAGTGGAATATGCGCACTTAACTGCTGTGCCATGGGGCCAGCCCCAAATGTTTACTTTCTTAAAGATATGTTATTCTTACAAGAAACAGATCAAAATAAAATAGAAATTTAACAAATAAAAATGAAGAATGCCACTGACCAAGTGTGTACCTGCACAAGCCACGGAACCTCTCTGGGCCTCAGTTTCCCTGTTGGTAATAAAAGAGTCACATGTAGATACTAAAGCCACTTCTAACTCCAGAATGCATGATTCCATAAAGTTATCACCTCACCCGTTTCTGTGAAACTAAGCTTTCCTCCCCTGGCATTTTGAGCTTCATTAGTTTATGTCTTCTCCACATGAATTATTTACGTTGAAATTGTTCTCTGCATGCTTTAGTAAAAGCTTTGGAATGGGGCATCCATTTGCTTGCAGCTAAATGAAACCTTTTCAAAAGGTAGTACTATTTCCCTTTCAGGTCCTGTAAGAGGGGCTCCATTTATTTAAACCTGACAAGCACACTGAGCTAAAGGAGGGCTGGACTTTATGGACTACTGGATCCAAGGCCCTCAGTCTATGGCGGAGGAGACTGAGATACACAGAAATCACCTGGCCACCCGGCCCGTTATTTTTCCTTTCACCTTCACTCCTGTTTATTTGCAATCATTGCTGCAATTTTCCACCATTTCTCATTCTCACTTTCTGCGGGGAGGAAGGGGCCTCAGTCTCAGAGCTATTCACTGCTCAGTCACAGAGGTATTTACATCAATAACTTCATATTTAAAATCAGAGTAACCACACTATAGGATTCCAGAAAATACTTAAACTTTAAAAAGAGCTGGGTTTGTGAGCCGGCTCTTTGAAGCAAGATCTTCTATCACGGCATCAGGATGCTAGAAGTAGAATTTTGCAGTTTTAGTTTTTTGTGTGTTTTTTTAGTTTCTGTATTTAGGAAACAAATTTCTTTATTCTGTTCTTTATTCCTTTCCATCTCTTCCCCTTTTTGATCCTTTAACTTGAAGTTTGGAGCACTCCCTCTATAATTATTCTTCTCGGGACAGGAAAAGAACAGTAAAGTGGTCCCCTGTACTCTAGAATCTGGAAGCAGCTGAGGAATATGCACAAGGCATTTATATCACTTACATAACAAGGTAAGACAGTAAAATGAGTGATTCACCCAAAGCGATGGGGAGAGATCACCATGACCTAGAGTGCTTGTGGAAGAGGCGGGGCCCCAATGGAAGCTCAAAGAATGGACATCGTTTGAAAAGGTGGAAGGAAAGGAAAAGTTACAAATATAGTGGCAACGCTGTGAACACTAGCCTATAGTGTGGAATGAATGGAACATGCTGAATTAAGTGTAGAGATTGAGACTGGTCAAGCAACAGGCAAATCAGAATATATCATAGGAGGAGGTTGGGCTGGAAGGGTAAGTGAGGTCAAATTTTAATGGGCCTTGAGTGCCAAGTGGAGGAAGTTGGACATACTCACAGACCAGTATTGCAAATAAAAATATTTACAGGAGTCAAACAAGTAACTTAACTAAATGAGGTGAATTTTGTCAAGGAGACAATGGTATGTCGGTGGTAAGCTGTAGGGCCGCCATTGCTAAAGGGCAGCCATTACTCTCAACTCTCTCAGAATTCGAGCCCAGGATTGTCCATTTCCCTCATGTTTTTCAAGACAGTATAAATACATGGATTTTAAAATTTCCTGACTTTTAAATTACTGTATGCCCCAAACAAGCTTTTCCTCAGAATAAATTTACAGAGCTACTAGTTTGTGGTCTGCTGTAGAAAATGGAAGACCTTTGAGGGTTTTGGACTAACAAAGGGAAACCAGGAAAATGGCATTTTATGCAGAGTGAAAGATGACACGTTTAGAGCCCTATTACATTAGAGCCGGAGCAGCTGTCTCAGAGGAAGTGCTTTTTACATCTTGTTTTCTTTATCTTCCAAACTGGACCAAACTACCAACATTCCAAGAAGTCAGTAAGGACAAGAATACCCTCTTTGTAAGCACTGATAAAACTGGACTTTGCTGATGACCAAATTGCTAACCAATCAATGAAGTACAAGTCTAGCCTTCTGCCTGATGACTGAATCTCAAGCCACAAGCAATGAAGTACAAACCTGGCCCTACCTCATCTAGCACCAAGGCACTCTTCAACACAATTCACCTCATCCTCTCTTTTCCCCATAAAATCCTTGAACTCCTCTCCTAGAATTGGAACACATTTTGGGTCTCTACCTGAATCTGTGTCTCCAGAATTGCAATTCTAATTGCCCAAATAAATATCTGCTGTTTAAATTGTAGAGGATTTTCCTCAGTGGGCAGAAGATTGCCCATTTGTTTTGTGGTCTTATACATTTTTATTTATTTGTAATCTCCCAAATATTACCCTATAGGAACATTTATCAAGACAAAAGCAATTTTGTCCTAAGTAGCAACAAAGTCACCATAGCTGAATTAGGCAATATGCAGTTGTATTTTCCAAAGATGACTGCAAAAATCTCTCTCATACCACATATTCTGCAATGTGACCTTGGCACTCCTCCATCAAGAAATGGCGTTCAATTCTCTTCTTGAATTGAGCTGGCCTTAGCGAGTCACTTGTCACAGTAGAATGCAGTGGAAATGATGTTCTGTGACCTCCAAGGATAGGTCAGAAGAAGTCTTGCAGTTTCTACCTTGATCTTTTGGGATGCTCACTCTCCAGACACTTCCTCGTGTGATGTGTGAAGCTCCCTCTCAGGTCCCTCCCTCTTGAAACCCAGCCCTTAGCCTGGGAGAAGCTTAAGTCACATGAAGAGGCCACATATTGGTTTTCCAGTTGACAATCCCAGCCTTCAAGTTATCCCAGAACAGGTACCAGATGTACCTGTAAGTGAAGAAGCCCTTAGATGATTCCAGCCACCAGGCATTTAAGTCCTCCCCAGACATTCTAGTCTTCTCCGAGGAAGTCTCAGACATCACAAAGCACTGCTCATACTGAATTCCTGACCCACAAAATCCATGAGCTTAATAAAATGTTGTTTGATGTCATTAAGTTTTGAGGCGATCTGTTTGCAGCAATACATTAACAGAACATGCATAACCTACACAAGTGGGTCACAAACAACAGTGTACATAAGAATGCACCATCCAATGTAAATATGCAGACTCCAACAAAAGAAAATGGGATTAGGTAAAACAATGTAATATTTCTAATCAGCTTCTAGGTGATTCTAATGGAGATATTTCTGACCATACTCAGGTAAGTATAATCCTATAAGAAATCCCCTAAAAAACTGAAGGGATCCCAAGACTCACTTGTACAGAGAACTAGAACTCTGAGTGTTCCCATCACTCAAGTCAGAAAGCCTTCCCTGGAAACAAAAGAGGCGCACTCAGCAGGCAGCCTCTGCTTAGTGGTTTTATTCCCACATCATAAGCAGATGTTCACGTATGAAACAGGACTTCTCTCTGTCACTCCTCATGTAGTCCAGACTAACCAGAGTTAAATTACATGCTCCTAGGAAACATTTTAAATGAGTGTGGTCCCTGAAAATTAAACAGAACAGTAAATACATTTGTGACTATACATTTGCCATCTTGAAAATGAGAGTATCAAGCCAATAAAGAAAAAGAATTAATAAGGTCTGGAAAAATTAAGCCAAAATATTTAGATGCTTACTCTTAAGAGGCTGGCCAAATAAAATAAGATTGATTTATTTTAAGAATCCAGGAAAGAAAGTTTCAAACCAATGGCAATTCAAATGTTAAACCGGAAGGCTCTAACAACATCTCTCCCCTACCAATGGGGTGTTTTTGAGAATGAATCTCATCAAAACCATAGGTAAAGAGGATTATTTTAAAAATACTTTTGCAGCAGTATGGATGGAGTTAACACACCTTTCATTACTAACCACGTTTCCTGAACTTATCCAGCCCCTTACTTCCTTACTACTATGTCAATTTTTTTTGCATCTCTTCTGTTTTATAGAATAATCTGTCACAGTCATACTGCTGGAAAATCTCTAAATCTCCAAATATATGTTTCCTTTTTATATTTTTTACAAATTTTGCTTTGCTTTTATTCTTTATACTTTCTGGTATAAAATACGAAAACTCTGTTTTTGAAACTGTCTCGACTTAAATCATAACTTGATCTTAGACAAATTTCAATTCATAGATTTCAAAGTTTGTTCTTTTCACGCTTTGTTTTTCTTAAAACTAAGGCCAAAATAAGTTTAAAGATCCTAAAATTGATTTTAATTTACTAAAATGAATATTATGAATATTCTGCTTTTTTATGATGCTAAAAATACAATTCATATGAATTACAGATTAATTTCCCTTGATACCTAAACTATGACAATTTTTCAGTTGTAAAGTCCTGAGCACTTAATTTATCCTACATTTACTTCACAGATGTCTCTTTTAATAGCAGATGTAGGTTTAGATAAAATTCTTCTTAGAAGAAGGAAATGGACGAGATAAACTAAAAATGTTATGCTTCTGGTACTCAACTTATTCTGATAAATTTTGTCTTAACTGACATAACACAGTCATGTTATCGAGTTAAATGAATATCTTTATGGATTAAAACACCAGGCACAAATCCTTGGCTAAATATAGCCTGTAGAAGTTTCTTTCATTAGGCCCCAATACTCTTTATAAAAGACTGAAATGCTGTTACTATAATATGGGTCATGTAGAAATACCATTTTGAAATTGACATTGAGAGAAATGTTCTTTTTTTCTTGGTCTTGGAGTTTGTAACAGATTCTTTAGGAGTTAATGTCACTCCCGCCTATATATTTTTTTATTTCCCTATATATTTTCTTCTGTTTCATTGAGGTTGCAATTGCATCATTAGTGTTCAATAAAATCATGGGCTGTGGCTCACAGCGATGGTGCACCTTCCGAGCTTCATCTCACTAAACTTCACGGGCCGCCTATCCGCAGGCACAGTAAACCACTCTTAAGTCATTATGCAATTAACAGTTAAAAAGTAGTGTTTAAAATGAGAAAGAAATATTATGGGTTGATATGTAGGGCACTAATTGCTTAGAAATACTCTGAGGCTTCCAAATGAAGCTACTACACCCATAAAATTCAGGTCCACAACTTGTGGCTGTCCCTCCCCCACTGAATCTCGCCCTTCAATTTACAATGGCACCGACAGCCTTGGTCTCAGGCCATCAACCCTTCCTAGCACAGCATTAATCCCTAGAAAATGTCCTGTGACTCAGCTGCTACTGCTGAAATGTCAGCTGATGTTCTTAAACACACACACGTACCCACACAACGCGCAGAACACAGGGTCACTCAAGAATCTGAGAAATAGCGAAGTTGAGAAGGTTTTGTAAAGCCTTCATTTCTCTTCTCTGATAAAGAACAGATGACTAATCAGAAAAACCTCATCTAAGGCCAAGAATTTTTGCTGCTTTGTCAGAGTAGTTGTAATAGAATTACCTGCCTATTACTCCTAAATTAAAAAAAAAATTCACAGAAAGTTTTAAAAAATAGAATACTTGAAGAGATTTATGGCAAAATTTATAACTAAAAATAATCTATAATAGTTATAACTTTTTTATCCACAGATTAACATATAATAATCTGAAAATAACATGTGTTCATTAAAGAGATGGGGGATGGATGAATGGATGGGGGATGGATGTCTGACTAACCTACTGGGAGTGTGAGTAAAGATAGCTGACAGCTGTGAGGGGAAGGTAGCGTCCAACCAAAACGTGATAAACATTTCCTATTTTGTAATTAAAAGAAAATATCTAAGATAATCCCAAAATATTTCACCTACATAATAGGAAAATTGTCAATATTTAAAAATTCAGTAAAATTGTTTACTAAAATGTTACACGATTTTGGATAAAACTGAAATATTTCAAAGGAAAATTATTAGTTTTATAAATAATTACTTCATAAATCTAAGAGCTGTGTTACAAAAACAAAAAGCAAAATCTGAACACAGTGTATAATCAAACCATTAAACTCCTGACTATAAAAAATACACTATAGGGCAAGCCCAGTGGCGCAGCGGTTGAGTTTGCACACTCGGCTTCGGTGGCCCAGGGTTTGCCAGTTCAGATCCCGGGTGTGGACCTGTGCACTGCTTGTCAAGCCATGTTGTGGCAGCATCCCCACATATAAAGTAGAGAGAGATGGGCACGGATGTTAGCTCAAGGCCAGTCTCCCTCAGCAAAAAAGAGGAGGATTGGTGGTGGATGTTGGCTCAGGGCTAATCTTCCTCAAAAAAAAGAAAAAGAATACACTATAATTCCCTTTGTTCCAAGATATTAAATATTTTTTAGTTAAAAATAAGAAACTCTTAGATAATCAATAACTAATATAATCAATTATTTCTTGTTTCAGTAACATTGGAGGAAGACCAAGGAGATCAATTTTTCATGCTGTTGTTCATCTTTGTTAACTCTTAAGACTTTTTGTTTTATTCATTACCTTCTCAAAGTTAAGTAATTTTAATTATGAAGTCATTTATTATTAATAAGTTTTTCTATACCTGCTGCTAATTTGCTCTTGAGAATTTTTAAATGGTAAAATGATATAATTTTGCATTAATAATAAAGGTTACTTCTCTTAAATTTTTAAAGCAAACCTAAATATAATATAACACATCTTTATGTTATATGTATATTAATATATTGATGTTATTTTTAGAGGGTTTTTCTATGTGCTTATTTTTAATACATTTTAAAATTCTTTTAAGACACTAAAGACTTCAAATATTATTTGCAGTTGATTCTTTGCTTCAACAGGCAACTTAATTAGATTCCACTTCCTTTCTATATGTCTACGTGTATCTTCAGACGCACACGTATATATTCTATTAATAATATATATATTCTATTCTATTCTATTAGTTGTTCCCTTTTAAGAAGACCACAATGCCCTGCTTATTTTAATGGAGAAAGATGTAAATTTTTCTTACCTGCCCTTTAAACCACTTTGGGAAAATGCAAAGTCAGCTGAACTAAATTTAGCAATTACCTTTTAGCTGACAGAGTCTTCTGATGTGGGAATCATTCTCAGGCTTGCTGGGCTCCTGCCAGAGTGTGTCATTCACAGTTTTTCCTTCTAAAGTAAAGCAAAGGATTGGTTAGCAGAATTCACAGTAATATCTGTCCAGCAGGTGTAAGAAATCTGAAATCAAAACAAGTTCAGCACACAGTGGTAACCTGGTAAGTGATATGCTAAGAGAGCTCTGTGGTCCATTCTGGGGAGTTCTAGTCCCTGGTGGACACTCCAGATGGGCTCCTATTTATTTCCATGAACTATGTAAGCACGCAAGCATACATAATAGAATGCTTCTACTGAAATACTTCTTGGTAGCTTATGATTACATTATTCTTTGGAGTATTGTTCCTGAATTAATAACCATTTATTTTTTATGCATAAGTTAAAGTATCCCCACCCTCCACATTCCTCATTATTTTTAACAAAATGATTAATTACGTAGAGAGAACATTGAGCTGTGATAGTTTCAAGGAACTCTAAGACCCTTGCATGGAAGAACCGTGATTCGCTCAGCCTTGTCCTCCCAACACCTAGCAGAGGGCCTGGACACATTGTAAAGAAGTGAACTGCAACAAAGTGAAGAATCCCGTCTAATCTCCTTACCGAAGACTAACCATTCCACGTGCTGCATCATAACACTGAGAAAGACAATTTTAAATAACGCAACCGAAGCATTGCTTGGAGAGAAAGTCAGCATGCTGTGCTGTTTTCAAAGTCACTATTTGCTCTCACTTTTGACTACAGAGAAGGCAGTTGATCATCAAGAATTATCTTAGGATAGAAGCATCTGTAGTCTTGTGTGCACAAACCAAGTAGTTTGCTTTGAGAATGGATCTAGCTGGAAAAAAAAAATTTTGCCTCACTACCTTTTATTTAAGACTATGCACTATTCAAATCAGGGCTGAAATCCAAAATATTTAGTAACCAGTGCCCACAGGGCCTTGAATAAGGAGACAGGACCCAGCCCCTGTGGATGCTGCCACTGGAAGAATATCAGACCCGATTAAAATACAGACACACTTGGAAGATGCATCCATTGATGATCATCAGCTTGGCCTGAATGAGCGTTTCATATCCTATCCAGGAAACTGGTTTTGAAAAGAGGGGGAAAGGAATTTGAGCATCTGATTCCTAGGCTCTGCTCAGGAGAAAGAAAGGAGAAAAGGTATCTACAAGGCAGACAAACTGCATAAAACATGAATGCCTGACTGAATGAGCCAGTGATTTTCATTCACTATGAATGTTTTACAATTAGTGACTCTCGATGTTCTGTAAGGGATGGAGAGGCATTATCCATTAACTTTCTAAAGTAATTAATAGAATCAGATATTCACTTTAGAATTAAAATACAGAGCCAATTGCCTTTATTATTACTATGATACTGTAATCATAGAAACTAAAGGAAAAGTTTGTTGTTTGAAATGTTATGGAAGAGTCTTTTGTAATCTAAACATTTTCAACTTCTTTTTTATTCACTCCTAGATTCATAGATCTGAAAAGATATCTAAGATGTCACCTTGACCACGGTCCTACCAAGCTAAAGTTGGGAAGCTGGAAGATAATCAGTCAATAAACCACCAAAGAGAATTAGTTTTTTTAATATAAAAGGAGATTATTCTGAATAAATCAATGACTTCTTCGTCTTAGCCTTTTAAAGTTAGAATGGAAATCACATTTCTTTTTTTAATTTCTTCTATAGAATTCAAAGACAACTCAATCTGACTTTCGTTAACCACTTATTGTTGCTTTATGGAAGTAGCAGAAGAAAATTACTTTTAGGGAAACATATCATTTTCACAAGTAACCTTATGAATTACTAACCAAATACTTTGTTTTCAGACATAGATCTCTGGATTGACCTAGAATAATAAAAGAAACAGATATTTAAGTCTAGATTTAATAAACAATATTTTAATCAAACAAATTAAATCATTTAGACATGTGTAATGCCTTAGAGAGGAGAAATAAATTCTATCTCTAAGTTCTACATATGGTCCTGAATTTTTCTGATCCAAGATGCCAAAGTGTAGTTAATACAAGTATAACCTTGGCCTGGAAATTTCCATGCAATATGGAGAAACTAACATCCATAAAACCTGCTAAAAAAGAGTGGGCCATTTCTACATGAATGTATCTCAAGATAATCAAATAGTTCATGTGGGAAAGTTCTTTTTCAAACAATTCTCTTCAATAAATACGGAAAGAATGATGCAAATTGAATATAACCATTGTACAACCCCCAATAAAACAACAGATCTGGGCAATAATCATCAATTGCTGTTAAAGCTTTTAATTGAAAGGCTGATGGGCAACTTTGTGCTGGATGGATCAGCCTGATACCATCTGAACCCACTAAGCAATACCACCATCATAAAAATAGAGACAACCAGGTATATGGGCGTCCAATGTCATGCAACAGGAAGCATGTAGTCACCGATGACCCACTTTAAAATATACATATATACCAAACTTGATTTTCTCAAGCCTCGAGATCTAACTAAAACTTACAGAAACACAGAGGATAGAAGAGCATGTTTTTAAGAAATACCACAAAGATCCAACATGCAAAATGCAAAAATACGGGAAATTCCTCAGAACAAACACTCCAGTTTCTTCAACGAACAAATGGAGAGAGAGACTCATATTAAGAGACATGAACCAAATGCATTGCATGGATCTTGTTTGAATCCTGACTCAAATAAACCAACCATAAAAAAAAGCACTTGAGGTTATCAGAGAAATTTTAACATTGACTGTATATTTGGTGATATTATGCCATTTTTCTTCTTTTGTCTCAGTGCAGTAGTGGTATTGTGGTTATGCTTAAAAAAACAAAAAAATTCTTGTTTTTTAACAATATATATTGAAACATTATACGTCTGGGTTCTGCTTTAAAAGAAACCCAGTGGGAGTGTAGGGGAAGTGGGGAGTCAAATGGATAGAGATGAAATAAGATTGACTATAAATTGATACTTGTTCAAGCATGGCAACGTGAGGTCTTTAGCTCTTCCTCTGGGTATGATTGAAAATATCCGTAATAAAATGTCTAAAACAAAACCAGAGGATAGGATTAGGCTGACTTGACCATGTTAACCAATTTATATGTGAGTGAACACACACTGTTTTCCACTATTGATATTCTTGGTAGTTGTTAAAAAAGCCAAGTTCACCATTTTTTTAAGTTCGGGGTTGTGAGCAAAAATCTGCACATATAATTTTTTTCTTTTCTTTTTTTTCTGGGAAAGATTTGCCCTGAGCAAATAACATCTGTTGCCAATCTTCCTCTTTTTTTTTTTTCTCCTCAAAGCACCAGTACATAGCTGTATATTCTAGTTGTAGGTCCTTCCAGTTCTTCCATGTGAGCTGCTGCCACAGCATGGCTACTGACAGACAAGAGGTATGGTTCTACTCCCGGGAACTGAACCCCAGCTGCTGAAGTGGAACACACCAAACTTTAACCACTAGGCCATCAGGGCTGGCTCTGTTTCTTTTTTCTTAACCATTTTATTTTGATTTAAGTTTTTTAATGCAAAACACTTAAGACATCTCTTGGCAAATAACATGTATTCCAAAAAAACTATTTATAATATTATAAAGTAAGGTAGGTATGTAACAATATGAGATGTTATTCCCTTCCAGGGGGTGGTGACAAAAGAACTGAGGAACTCAAAAGTGTCTTCAGTTTTATTTTAACTGGTTGCAAACTGTCCTCAGATCGACTGGTTTGTCTGTCACATTAATTGATTTGGTTTATGTTTGAAAAGTCCTAATTCAGTCAGCATCAGGTTCTTTCCCTTCCTTTCATCCTCCTTCTGCCCCGCCATGTTTTGGTATCCTCTAATCTGGAGAAGCATCAGTCATAAGCCAATGGCTGTAATTTTGTTTAAGTATTTGATTTGGAATTAGGAGTTCCTCATCCATGGGTAGAATAAACAGCTACAAAGTGGGGTGATTTTTAAGACCAAGAAGAGGCCTGCCCCCAAAAAACCCCTTCTTTACTCCAGCTCCTGCTTAAAATGCCACTGTGGTAGTTTAAGCAGGTAACTGTGGCTAAAATACAACTACCTTCGCCTGGCAGGTGCTCTACGCTGTTAATCACGCAATTACCTACTTACTGTGGATGCGTTTTACATCCTTACTGGGAGAAGCTTTGAGCAGGAGAGGGAAGAAAGAACATGAAAGCACAGAGTGCCTTAGGGGAGGGTGAGGGGGCCAAAGACCGTCGAGAAATAACACATCCCAAGAGAATTTCACATATTAACAATTTGGTCTCAGACCATTCCAGAGTGCAAGGAAGACATTCTTCTATATCATCAGCAATCAATCTGGAAATTTCCCCACAAATCAACTTCCTGCCCCATGTATTTCCTGCTTATTAGTTAAAATCCCATTACCTTATGCAACATGTATGTGTCCCGTCCTCCAGCGGCTTGATGTGCTGTATGTAAAGCCAAGCCTGACCTAAATAACCCAAATCTCTTTGCAAACACATTTTTATTTGGATTAGAAGAACTCTTCAGAAGATTACTAGGTCACCAATAGAAATATATTTTCCAGTCAGCTCCCACTTTCATCTGAGCCTAGTTTAAACATATTTCTTCTTCTGAAAATTTCATTTTCACATCTCTACCTACAGAAATGTCACAACACAAGTTTCTATGCATCACCATAAACAGATAAATGGTGGCAGAGCAAATCATACCTAGATTTGTATATGACAACTTTTTAAAAAGCACTTTGACAGAAAACCCACTACACTATTCCATTCAACATTATAGAACTAAGAGAACATAAAGTTTTCAAAGTAAATTTGACTTACTTTCTTTTTGGTTTTGCTTTCTCAAAATTAGAAACTTCCTGTAAAATAAAATAAAAAATAAAATGAATGACACTACTCCAAGAAATCAGAAAGAGAATCCAAGTTCATCTTCGAGTATAACCCAAATGTAGTTCACTTTGCTTTTTCCCAGTAAAATGACTGGTGTTTCCCTCTTGTGTTTTAGTAACATGTCTTAGAATCTTAGTTCAAGTTTTTATTTTTTTTCTCCTTTTGTCTTTGTAACTTTGAGAGATGTCGAATGCTTCCTCCATTAACTGAGGCTTATACTTTATTCTAAGCTCTTGCCAGTTATAAAGCAAGTCTTTTAAATGAAAACATGGAATTAAATCCTCATAACCTTGATGTTCCATCCCCCATCAACCCACCAAAACCAATGGGAGAGATACATACCAGAGTGTGTTAATTACATTATATAGTACCTTCCTTTGAGAAAGAGGGAGTCGCCTATTACAATACCCTGAGTGTGTGGAAATACACCTGGATTCATCTGGCCTTTTTCTTCAGAGCAACCGAATGTTGTGTAAAATCCCTTACACTCTTGGGGGAAGAATATGTTGCCACATCTTTCACCATCCTTGAAAGAGCTGAAAGTGCTCCCAGGCACCTTTAAGAACCCTTCTGATTCTCTCATTGTTTCATTCATCCACTCCTTCCTTCAAAAACCATTTATGTTTTTGATGTTCAAAGTACTTTTTGAACAACTACTATATGACAGGCAACAGACCATGTTCTAGAGAGGTTTGTTTGGCATAGTAGGAATTTGTGTAGTATAGAATCTGGGGACCAATATTCCACATGGGCGAAAAACACAAATGCAAAGGCTGGGAGGGTGGTGAACAAAACTTAGAAAAAGTGAAGTTGGTTTTATTATTCCAATAGTTAATAGTATTAGTCTGAGCACTGTCAAATCCTGGATAACCTTTCCCCTACATACTAATGGAGGGGGCCCTTTCTCTAACCCTTATTGTGTTTTTATCAAGATTTAACTCTCAAAGACAATTTGAATTACCTATTTGAAGCTGTTGAGTAGTATCACTAAAAACCCCATATGCTGAAACAATCAGTCCCTGAACTTGAGGAACAAGTTTTGCCAAGTGAAAATGCCCATGGACCACCCAGAGGACAACGTCTGGTGGGAGACAGGTGGAGGTGGAGGCAAAGATGTGGGAGTCATGAACAAGCCCTGAGGTGAGTTGGGCTACCAACAGACCTTTTAGAAATTAGTGGTCAGACTGACCACTCCTTCAGGTCTCTATGTTTTTGTCATCATGTGTCCTAAAAACAATCAATCTCTATCCATGATCTTTTTATGGAATTCTTTCAATCTTGGTCTAGATGTGTCCAAATCGCAGCTCAGAAACTAATTGTGTCCCTTTCACCACAATCGGCAGCCACACAAACTTTGTGAGTGTCATCAGGAAAAAAGATAGCCATCCATCTTTAGGTAACATTTTCTTTCATATATATTTGGAATTTTCTAGGAAGGAGAAAGCTCCATGTTCACGTGATATATGCAGTCTGAGCCAAATATGTCTCAATAATCAGAATCCATTGTCCTGAGTCTCATTAATTTGTTGTATGGGTTTAGATAAATCTCTTTGGACTGCCAATTTTGCATTCTTCAAAATAGATTCTACCTTTTTTGAGTATAGAGAGAAGTGTCTAGTGTAGAGTTAACTAGTAAGAAAAGATGGATTTGCAATAAGAAAGATGGGAAATATTAGACATCTTTTGTACTTTAATCATTTGAATCACAGTGCTTCTGAATCAACTTATTATATCAGTAATTCATTGTCTTCACTACCAAAGAGATTAATTCCAGATGACTCACAAAACTTGAGTTCAACTGAGCCCCGAGTGTTTGAATCGGGACGGGGGCATATTATTGAAGCACAGTCTCCTGCTTCACGTGGATGCCTCGGCTAAGTTCGTACAATCTAGCGCTGGACCCACACAAAACTGGTTAAACATGTGTGGCTGCCGATGTGGTGAAACGGTCACAATTAGCTTCTGGGCTGAAGTTTAGGGACATCTGGACCAAGACTGAAGGACTTTCATAAGATTAAGGCTAGAGATCAGTTATTTTTAAGATACGCATTGTCATAACATTCTCTAGGGACCGTCTACTTTGTTTTGTTTTACTGGAATCCGGATCATCCAATTTTTGCTTGTAATGTGTCAGTTTGGGTTTGGGGATCTTTTGTTAAAGAGTTTTCTTGTAATGAATACTTCCAAAAAGATTTTGAGTTAAAACTTCTTTTTAATCCCTATTAAGACGAAAGAGTTAATGTAGTTCTCTTTAGGCAATCTGCTTCCTACAAGAGGGTAGGGAGGGCCAAGCACATTAAACGCATGTCTGAAGTGTGATTACAGGAGCGAATAGGATTACTCCTCAAACAGGGCACCGTCTACTTAATTAGAATAATATGTCTGTTCCCTAAGTGTTGCCTAGTTGTAGGTTATTACTGAACTGATTAAGCAATTTTTAGTATTGCTTGTATCAGACCCAAAGCAGCTGCTTTCAACTCTGACTTCTGCTTACATAGCAGACTGCCATGTACTTTGGAGCTCAGACCCTGAGCTCTTTATTCATGGAGGGGCATGTCAAAGAAAGGCTATATACAGCTTTATTTTCCAAACTACATCTGTGTGTGTGTGTGTGCATGTGTGCATGTTAATCTGAATTACAAAAAGAAGATACCATCCCAATAAGTCAATGAAATAGTTCTGCCTAGTCCATTAATTTGACACTTGTCATAAATACCAGGCAAAATTTGCTCCTATTAGCCTTCATTTCATTATCTCCTAAATCAAGTACTAATCATTAGTCTTACCTTTCATTCACTAAGGAGTTTGTGACAATTTAATTTTTACCCCAGCAATTGTTAGGAAAATAAAAAATGAAATATATGCAAATTATTACAAATGGGCCAGTAGAAACTGAAGAATATGCCCAACCTGTGTTATTTTCCAACTGGTGATGAAAAGCAGGCTGTTGATGAGAGTAGGTTCTAGGAGCAAAGCATTTTCATATAACTATGAAACAAGGTCAAATTAGGAAACAATTCGAAATGAAGAAAGAGAAGATGCCACTTAAAAGAAGAGAGAAATTTCAGGTAGCAAAGGCCGTATTTCTGTTCTTCTGCAGTGGTTACCGTTGACTGTCCTTTGGGGTTGAGTCTAATATGTGTCTGTTTCTTGCATTATTGGGTTTTAAATCTTACTTTCAAATCACAAAGTCAAAATGAAAAATGAAGTGAATATGTCAGGAGTTGTTGTTACCTAGCTAATGGAAATGTGAAAGGTGTTTCTGCACTGGAGAAAACTGATTGGCAGTAAATGATGGTGTAAGTCCCATGGTGAATTTTTAAGACTGTAGAGCTGATGAGATCTAACCTTTGATTTGCAAATGAATAAACTGAGATCCCAAATGGAAAACTGACTTGTCTAGGGTCATGCATATAGCACTTTACTTTAATTAAATTTTACTTCACCTTAATTTTTGTCATTCTAATATATTCTTTTGGAATTACATCATTCATTCATTCATACATTCACAGTTTACGCAACAAAAATTTATTGAGCATCTACTATGTATTAGATACTGTTTTAGATACAAAGAAGAATTACAAGTGGTCCTCCTCTTAAATATCCACCATCAGTGACTGCTGATCTCAGAATCCTGTTGGATTCTTGATTTTTTTTAACTTTGAAGATTAAATGAACTAGCCTTTATAAAATTCTTACATGATGCTAAACATACAGAAATACCTACAGACTTTATTTCTCAGATTAATTATTCACTAATAGTTACATAGAATTCTGATATCGAGGCAAGAGTTGAACATAAATGCAAACATACACACATATGTATATATACATATAACTTCTCATTAAGGCAAGTTAATCCAATTTCCATTTTGCTTACTTATTCTCTTGCAAAAATAAAGATTATTTACTTGCATAACTAAAATGGTTTTACTAATATTAAAATACAATGATTCTAAGAATGCCACATCCAAATTGAATCGGCCTGTTTCTGGACATTTCTTAGGTCCCTATGCTTCAATAAAGTTCCCACAGAAGTTTAAAAAAGATAGGAAAATTAATACAAGTTTCTTTAAAAAAAAGTCTAATAGACATCTGGCAAAAAGAATGATTATGATACTTCAAAGTTAATAAGTAGACTAATTTTGCAGTGCGCCTAAAGCCACCAGAGAGAGAAAAAATATATATAAATCCAGCCTTTGAGCCTTGTTCTCAAAACAAGGAGGAGGTTTTTATGACTTGCTAACAAACCATCACCCATGTAGAGGAGTCCTACAACCCACGAGCAATTCTACCTTGCCTCTACACCTGACTGCGAACGTGTGGAGAAAAAGCCTATGAAGGAGAAGTCTCCTATGAAATAGATCACAGAGCAAAGGGGAGTATGAGCAAATGTGGCTAGTCCGAGCCCAGGCGGTTAAAGCAAGCTGCTGAGAATGACAAGCCTTTAAATCCTATTGCTTTTCTAATTTCCTGGTTTAACATATTTGCAGAATAATAACGGCAGAACACTCATGTACTATCAAACACAATTTTAAATGTTTTTATATAATAATTTATTAAATCTTTACAGCAATCCTGTGATACTGATACTATTACAATTATCCTCAATTTAAAGATGAGTACACTGAGGCACAGAGCAGTCAATATTCTTGCCTAAGGTCACATAACTAGTAGGTGGTAAAACTGGGATTTTACGCCTAATGTCTTAACTAGTACACAATACTACCTCTATACTTGACTGCACAGGTATAGAATCCACTGTTGTTAGATCAGAGATCTCACAAATGAGCACTATTGGCCAGAGGGAAAGTGGCTTGAAATATGCAGAGAAAATGTAATATTATATGCCATTACTAATCAAACAACTCAGAAAGCACACCCTTAACAAAGCATTAATGCTAATAACTTAGTATTATTTGAAGACAAATATAGAGACAGCACACTGATGTGTTTTAAAGGCATGAAT